GGAACAGGGACAGGACAAGGGGAAATGGGCTCAGGCTGGGCCAGGGCAGGCTCAGGGTGGGCAGCAGCAGGAATTTCTGCCTGGAAAGGGAGCTCAGGCCTTGGCACTGCCCAGGGAGGGTTGGAGTGCCCGTCCCTGGAGGTGTCCAGGGAATTTCTGGATGTGGCACTCAGAGCTCTGGGCTGGGGACAAGGTGGGGATTGGGCACAGCCTGGACTGGATGGGCTGGGAGGGATTTTCCTGCTGAGGGGCTCTGGGATCGTGGAGAGAGCAGATCCCTCGTTCAAGTCTCTTTTCAGGGCCGGCTTGAAAGAGCTCAGTCCCTCCTTTTCCTTGCAGAGGGCACAGAGGGTGACACTCCTGTCCCCTGAATGGATTTGTGTCTATCTTGGTCACTCTGTCCCCCTCTGCCAGGAACTGTGTGTGTGTGTGTGTGTGGCAGCGTTGGCTGCTGTGTCCAGGCACTGGCAACGACCTCTGGGGCTCCCATCCTGGCATGGGATGGGAGCTCTGCTCTGTGCCAGGCTGAGCAGGGCAGCTGGGGCTGCCCCTGCATCCCTGGCAGTGCCCAAGGCCAGGCTGGACAGGACTTGGAGCAGCCTGGGACAGGGAAAAGTGTCCCTGCCATGGCAGGGGTGGCACTGGGTGGGCTCTGAGGTCCCTCCCCACCCAAACCCTCCTGGGATTCCCCGAATGAGGAACCTCTGGGCAAGGAGGTGGAAGTCTTGGTACTATCAGGTGCTTTGTGGAGAATGAGATGGGATTGGAAGCTCATGTGCCCAAAACACTCAACTTCTGCAAGTCATAACAAATGCCACTGAGGCTTCTTCCTGTAAAAAAAAAAAATGCAGTAAGGACACAGCAGCCCTTGGTTGTGAGTCTGTGGCTTTCCAAAGCATGGCAATGTTTTCAGAGCAGAGCCCACGTGCTTGTTCTCCTTCCTGAGGAGGAAGAAGGCTGGGGTGGGCTCTGAGCTCTGGGGTTCCCCCAGGCCCTCGGGCAGTGCCAAGCTGTGCCCAGGGACTGCTCCTCAGGGAGCTGTGCCAGTGCCAAGGCACGACTGCTGCTCCTGCTGCCATCCCAGGCTGCTGCAGGCTGGGCTGAGCCAGCTGCCTCCTGTGGTCTGCACGCAGCTGTAGGAGCATTGGTTGGGATTATTGTCTTTTGTTGGGGTTAGACACACAAAACCTGTATTTAATGGTTTTTAAGTTGGTGAATTTGGTAACCAAGGAACAATGTCATAATTAGTTGAATTATAAATTAAATTTCACACTGATGCTGATTTAACTTTCCTTTTTTTTTTTTTTTTGCTGCAGTGGAGAAATTTGGCATCTTTAGGGACTGTGTAGTGAAATAAGCCCTGAGAGCTGCTGAATTGTCCCTGTGCCCCCTTACCTGGGGGTACAAGCTGCTCCCTGCTCCTGTCACTCTTTTAATCTGTTTTCCCAGGAAAGGGAGCCCTCTGTCACCAAACTGGTTTTATTTCCAACTTAATTAGTTTGAAGTTCTTTACTTCCCTGACAAATCCCATGGGACCTCAAGTGTTGGGGCTCAAAGTGAAATTAATTTTAACAAGTTTTGTTTAAAGCCAGCATTCTCCCAAACCAAACATCCCCACCAATCCTTTTCCAAGCTAAAGGATTCTGTGATCCTGCAGGGAAGAAGGGTCACTAAGCTCTGTCAGCCAGGGAAGGGAATGGGCTGAGCTTGCTCCTGCTGAGCCCCGGAGTCTCTGACTGCAGCATCTCCCTTTTCTGGCTCAGAACACAGAGCAATTCTTTATGGGCTATTCCTGCACGTATCAGTGCAGCTCTGGGCTTTGCAAAGCGAAGCAATTCAAGTGTTGAATTCATGTTTCCTGTGCCGTGCCCTGCCTTGGGAGGTGTTAACAAGCCTGAGGTGTGAGTGTGGAATGGGATGAGGGTGAGAGGTGTCTGTGTCCTGGAATCCCCAGTCCCCAAAGAGAATCAGACTGTTCCCACTGAGGGACAGTGAGCTGCTCTTGTAACAGGATCCTAACACAAACAGTGCTTGCCATTTTTGTCTCCAGGATGATTGAGGAGAGTGGGAAGAGGAGGAGGACCATGGCAGAGAAGAGGCAGCTGTTCATGGAAATGAGTAAGTAGGAAATCTGAAGACATTGCTCTCCTTCCCTGGGACAGCTGCAGCAGATCATCCCCCTCCTGTCCCCCAGCCCCACGCAGGGAAGATCATCCTGCTGTTCCTGGGGGCTGCTCAGGAGGAGAGTGCCCAAGGGGAGTCACAGCTGCCTGGGAAGGTCGTTTCTCCCTGGGTTTTGGGAAGCTCCTTCCTTAGGGAATGTTCACATCTCTCATCTATGCCAGTGCCTGAGGTTTGTGGAGAACTATTTCAGTGAGTAGTGATAGCAGTCAGAGAACCTTTGGCCTTAAAAAGAGATTTTAAAATGGCCCTGCAGTGCTGGTGTGACTCGGGGCAGGATCCTCCTCTGGAAGAATTCAGAATTGGTGTTTGCATGACATCACATTATCCTGCTGTCCTGCAGGAGTTAGGGCTGAAGGGAATTCCTGGATGAGGCCAGCATGCCCTTAATTCCAGTTACAGACTGAGGGAGCTCTGACCTAAAACTATGTATTTATCCTGGTTTGTTCCCAGAGTAGCATTGTTATGGACTCGTGGAGTGGTCTGGGTGGGAAAGGGCCTTAAATCCCACCCAGTGCCACCCCTGCCATGGCAGGGACACTTTCCACTGTCCCAGGGTGTCCCAGTGTCCAACCTGGCCTTGGGCACTGCCAGGGATCCAGGATGGGCACCCTGTGCCAGAGCCTGCCCACCCTGCCAGGGAACAATTCCCAATTCCCAATCTCCCAGCCAGCCCTGCCCTCTGGCACTGGGAGCCATTCCCTGGCTCCTGTCCCTCCAGCCTTGTCCCCAGTCCCTCTGCAGCTCTCCTGGAGCCCCTCCAGGCCCTGCCAGGGGCTCTGAGCTCTCCCTGGATCCTTCTCCTCTCCAGGCTGAACAATCCCAATTCTCCCAGCCTTCCTTACAGCAGAGCTGCTCCATCCCTCTGATCACCTTGGTGCCCCCTCTGGGCTCTCTGCAGCAGCTCCAGGTCCTTGTGCTGCTGGAATCCCCAGGGCTGGGGCAGCTCTGCAGGTGGGCTCACCTGGGCACGGGGCAGAACCCCGGTGCGTGCCGTGGTGGGCATGTGTGTGAGGAGGCACTGGAGCCTTTTCCCCAGTCCTGCTCTCAGCAGGTGCAGTGCCGGGCTCAGCTGTGAGACCCCAGCAGGGTGCAAGCCCTCGTTCCCCTGGCCCAGCAGCCCCAGGAGAGCTCTGGGATGTGTCCCGTTGTGTTTTCAAGTTCTTCTTACCTAAGCATTCTGGCTCTGACCTGCTGAGCTCTGTCCAGAAAGGAGGCCAGGGCATCCTGTGTGCCCTCTGGGCAGAGTTTGCTTTTGATATCAAAAGTTACATACAGACTGTTTATAACAATGCACCAGTACCTGACTCCTGTGTTGGACAGTGTGTCCCTGTCCTAAAGCAACAGAAAAGTGTCATCACCACACCAAGACAGGGAGGGCAAGAAGAAGGGAAAGAAAGCCAGGGTTCACCCAAATTCCTCCATCTTGTACCCCCTTGAACCCCAGTCTAAAAATCCCAAATTTCTACTTTTCCACCCTGTGTTAATCCAACTCCCACACCACTCAAACCCTTGTGGCTTGTAATTCCTCATACAAAACTGACAGTTTTCCACGGGCTAAAATCAAAGCCACGGGGGTTTCTGACTTCATGCCAAGGTCCCCGAGCCCCCTGTGGGTCTGGGGCAGCCAGAGGGGGTGCTGGGCTCGGGCAGTGCTGTGGCTGCTGCAGGGAAGCTCAGCCCCAGCTGTGCTTTGCTGCAGGAGCCCAGAACTTCGACGTGATCCGGCTGTCCACGTACAGAACCGCCTGCAAGCTGCGCTTCGTGCAGAAGAGGTGCAACCGTGAGTGCTGCCAGCCTCCTCCTCCCCCTGCTGCATGGCTGCTGCATGGCTGCTGCAGAGCTGCACCCTTGGAGGGCAGGGTCAGGCCCTGCCAGCTGTGTTTAACAGAGATCTGATCTAGAATTGAGTAAGGAATGAAAGAGGCAGCGAGCCTTGCCCCATACTCTGTAATGTCTTCACTTTTGTTCCGCAGCGCTCAGAAAATGTGAAGTCCTGGGGTGTTTTGTGGTGTTTTGTGCCCTCAGAGCTGGGTGTTGATGGTCTCGAGCTCTGTCAGGGGCTGTTTGCTCAGGGGGAAGCCCAGGGCAGCCCCAGTGAGCACAGGGACAGTCCCTGTCCCTGTGGGGACACGTGGGACATCAGTGACCATGGAGAGCTCTGGGCAGTGCAGGTTCTCCCTTCTCTGCTGCGGGCTCTGACCTTGGATGGCTCCCAGGTGAATGCCAGGTGAATGCCAGGTGAATGCCAGGTGAATGCCAGGTGAGCAGGATGCACTTTGTGCCCTGGCCCTGCTGAGCTGGACACACAGCAAAGAGCCGAGCAGGAAAATGTGTGGGAGGAGATCCCTAATTCCTGGGCACAGGAACTGCAGGGGGCTGAGCAGGAGGAGGAGGCCAGGAGAAGGACTGAGGAGGAGGAGGAGAAGGGCTGAGGAGGAGGAGGAGGCCAGGAGAAGGGCTGAGGAGGAAGAGAAGGGCTGAGGAGGAGGCCAGGAGAAGGGCTGAGCAGGAGGAGGAGGCCAGGAGAAGGACTGAGCAGGAGGAGGAGGCCAGGAGAAGGACTGAGGAGGAGGAGGAGGCCAGGAGAAGGGCTGAGGAGGAGGAGGCGGCCAGGAGAAGGGCTGAGGAGGAGGCAAGAAGGGCTGAGGAGGCCAGGAGAAGGACTAAGGAGGAGGAGGAGGCCAGGAGAAGGGCTGAGGAGCAGGAGGCCAGCAGGACACGTGTCCCTGCTGTGTCCCTGGGCTGTGGTGGCCCTGCCCCAGCTCCCTGTGCTGGTGGCTGCCTCAGCCCTGGACACGGCGTCAGTTCCTGGCTGTGCTTGCAGGGTCAGGGTTTAAACTCTGGTTTCCAGCACAGGGCACGAGGCAGTGCCAGCTGCAGAGCTCTGCCCAGGGCACTGGGATGGGGCCTGCAGCTCTGGGCTCTCCCTGCTCACAGGCTGCTCCAGGGGGTGGGAGAGCCTGGCCTGGTCCTTGTGGGGGTTTTTGGGGGAAATACAAACGCAGGTCAGTGGGGGGAAGGCATGAGCTCACGCTGAGTGCAGCCCCTTCTGTGGGGCACCCAGCAGTGAGTGTTGTTACACTTAGACATGAAACAACTCACAGGAGCAGGCTAGATGTAAAAGGAAAAGAAAAAAAAACTCAAAAAAGCAAACTTTATTTTCTGACTCCACTATATGTACAATAGCAAAAGTGACAGTGGACGGGAGGGTCAAACCAACAATCCATCAGTTCTCTCCTCCCACAAAGAAGAATGCAAAACAATCATTGTTTATGTGAACAGTGTGAGAAAATTCAGTAGAATTATGTAAGCAGCAAAAGACATAAGAAACGTTTAGAAGAGCTTTAAAACTCTCAAAAGAGCAGAACAACAAATGTCACGTGTCCCAGCTCTGGGTGCTCAGCTTGGGTGGCTGCTGATCCTTAGATGTCTTCTCCACTCTCCTGCAAACCTCAGAGCTTGGAAGCATTTCAGGATATTGTTTCATGTGGTTCTGCAGATCGCTTGCTGTGGTTTGGAAAAGGTTTTCTGCACGTCGTTAACAGCCCTTGGATACAGCAGGGAAATCTGGGGGAACCCTTTGGAGCCCCAGACCTGTGTTTGTAAAACATTATGCTCTGGGTTTGGGAACTGGATCAACTGGAAACTGTCAGAGTTCAACTGGAACATCAGGTTCCTCCTTCAGCACTCTACGAGTCAGCATGAGGGTGTTTAAAATTACTGTCAACGCTTTGTAGTGGATTTAGAGCATCATCAGATCCCAGAGTGGTTTGGGTTTGGGGAGGGCCCTTAAAGCCCACCCAGTGCCAGCCCTGCCATGGCTGGGACACCTCCCACTGCCCCAGGGTGCTCCAAGTTCTGCCCAGCCTGGCCCTGGGCACTGCCAGGGCCTGCCCACCCTGCCAGGGGGGAACTGTGGCTGCTGGCTGACACCCTGCATGCTCAGGGGGAGGGCTGTGCTCCTGCAGGAGCTGTTTCTGCCAGACCCAGGTGTTGAAGGGAGCAGTGGAAGCCACACCTGGGCCCTGCCGTGTCCCTGGAAGAGCTCAGCCTCTCACTTTGTGCACGGTGGCTGCTCCTGCCAAAGGAGAGCCAGCTGTGTTCACAGGCAGTGCCATCTCTGGCCTCGCAGAGCAGAAGTGAATGGTTTTCCCTCTGTTTTTCAGTTCACCTTGTTGATATCTGGAACATGATTGAAGCCTTCCGAGACAATGGCCTTAACACTTTGGATCACAGCACGGAGATCAACGTGTCCCGGCTTGAAACCATCATTTCATCCATCTACTACCAGCTGAACAAGCGCCTGCCCTCCACCCACCAGATCAGCGTGGAGCAGTCCATCAGCCTGCTGCTCAACTTCGTGCTGGCAGCCTATGACAGGCCAGTACTGCCCCTGGGTGCTGCCTGGGCACGGGGAGTGTGCCCAGGGCTGCCCTCTGAGGGGCTGTGCCACTGCTGGGAGCCCTGTGCTCAGCTGGGGCTGGGCTCACACCCTGCTGGGGCCTCCCAGGGGCTTAGCAGTGCTCCAAAAGTGAATGTGTTTTGTTGAATCTTGCTCAAAAAGACCCTTTTTAAACTCAGTCTTGTCAGTTTGCAGCCCCCTCATGCTGTGACCCCGTAAAGCTGATTCTCATTTCTTGCTCAGGGTTCTGCCCAGGCACCTGCTCATGCCCAGTTTTATGTGTTTGCCTCACAGCCTCTGACTGCAGGGTTTGCTCTGCTGACCCTGAGTAGCTCTGCCCCTCTGTGTTCTCTTAGCAGGTCCTTTGCTGTGGTTGGCATTTCTTACTCTTGGTCTTGCCTTTTTCCAAATCAGCTTTTTATTCAGTGGGATCTGGCTTTTGCTTCTGCCCCACTGAGGGGATTTAGCCAGGGCAGTGCCCAGAACTGAGCGTGCCAAACAATTGTTCTGTTTGTGATGCCCAAACTTTGATCCTCTCCTGCTGGGACAACTCCTTGCTGCCACCAAACAGAAGCTGGAGTGTCCCTCAGAGAGTCCAGACTCGAGCACAGTCCCTGCCTCACTGGGGACAAATAAAACCAGCACGAAGCTCAGAGCAGCTCCTGTGCCAGCAGAACCCAGGGGAGTTTCTGTTCAGTTAGGACAAGTTGTAGGGCTTGGCTGAGGGTTTGGTTACTGTCAGACAGCTCACACTCAAATTACAGCGTTTAAACCCAGGAATGGCCACCTTTGCCTCAGAAGATGGAGGCTTTAGTTAGAAGTAGGATTTTGTTCCCCACTTTCCCCCAGCCCTGTGAGCTCTGCCTTGTCTGGACTCCCAGCAGCAGCAGCTGGATCCTGGCACAGAGAGCAGCAGCTGGATGCCAGCCCGGGGCATCACAGCTGGATGCCAGCCCGGGGCAGCACAGCTGGATCCTGGCACAGAGCAGCAGCAGCTGGATGCCAGCCTGGGGCAGTACAGCTGGATGCCAATTCCAGGGCAGCAGCAGCTGGATGCCAGCCCGGGGCAGCACAGCTGGATGCCAGCTGGGGCAGCAGCTGCTCTGTGCCTCGCTGTGCCTGGGCAGGGCTGAGGCAGAGCAGGGCTGAGGCTCCCTCTCCAGGAGCTCAGCAGCAGGGCAGGCAGGCCTTGTGTAAAAATGTATAAAAATATATAAAGATGTCTAAAAATTACCATCCCCGTGCTGCTGGAGTGCTCAGAGTCACAGGGCTCTCACCGAGCGTGCTGGTGGCACCATCAGAACCTTCAGCATTCCCCTTGGCAGGTACAATCCCAGAATCCTGGAGTGGTTTGGGTGGGAAGGGACTGTGCCAGTTATCCAGTGCCACCCCTGCCATGGCAGGGACACCTCCCACTGTCCCAGTGTCCAGCCTGGCCTGGGGCACTGCCAGTGATCCAGGGGCAGCCACAGCTGCCAGGGCGTGCCCACACTTCCAGGGAACAATTCCCAATTCCCAATCTCCCACCCATCCCTGCCCTTTGGCAGTGGGAGCCATTCCCTGGGTCCTGCCAGGGAACAATTCCCAATTCCCAATCTCCCAGCCAGCCCTGCCCTCTGGCACTGGGAGCCATTCCCTGGGCCCTGCCAGGGAACAATTCCCAATTCCCAATCTCCCAGCCAGCCCTGCCCTCTGGCACTGGGAGCCATTCCCTGTGCCCCTGGATCCCTGGCAGTGTCCAAGGCCAGGCTGGGCACTGGGACACCCTGGGACAGTGGGAAGTGTCCCTGCCATGGCAGGGGTGGCACTGGTGGCTCTGAGGTCCCTTCCCAGCCAACCATTCAGGGTCCTGCTCCTCCAGGCCCTTGTCCAAGCCCCTCTCAGCTCTCTCAGAGACTCCCTTCAGGGGAGTTCTGCTTTTCCAGCTCTGCCCACACTCACCCTGTGCTTTCCCCATCTCTGTATTTTCCGTGCCAGGCTAAATTCCCTGGCCAGCAGATTGAGTGAAGGTTATTTGAGGTGCTGGTAGGTGCTGGGGTGGTGGTTGCTGTTATTCCAGTGTTTCTGGGCTCTGGGCTGGCTGTGTTTCCATTGCTGTGCACTTCTCACGCTGCCTCTCCCTGCAGCGAGGGCCACGGGAAGCTGACGGTGTTCTCAGTGAAAGCCATGCTGGCCACCATGTGTGGGGGCAAGATCCTGGACAAGCTCAGATGTGAGTACCCCTGAGGAGTCCCAGCCTTTATGGACTCTTTCCTTTCCTGTGTTTCCTGTCCTGGGTTCTGGGGGGGTTTTGTTTTGCTGATTCCGTGATCTTTGCGCTGAGCTGGAGCTGTGCTGTAAATCCCCAAATTCCAGAGTCATTGAGGTGGGACAATCCCTCCCAGCCCATCCCAGGCTGTGCCCAGTCCCCACCTTGTCCCCAGAGCACTGGGTGCCACATCCAGGCCTTCCTGGGATGTTTGTTCCATGTTCTAGCTCCTGGTTATCCCGAGCCCAGCACTGAGGAGGCTTCCCAAGCCCATTCCTTTAATCTAAGCTCTTGGGCACTTCTTTAAATGGAGAACTTGAGGGCTGATTTTCCAGGGAATGTCCCAGGTGTCACCATTTCCCTGCTTTGAGGATGTTGGAGGCTCCTGTGAATCTCCTGCTTTCCCTGAGGCTGTGTGCACCTTCTCACTGTGTCATTCCAGCTGCTGAGGTGGAATCCCAGGATGGTTTGGGTTGGAAGGGACCTGGGACAGACACCTCCCGTGTCCCAGGGTGCTCCCAGCCCTGTCCCTTGCCGTGAGCCCTGCTGACCCACAGCCCAAAGCCCAAATCCTGCTGGACGAGCACGTGGAGCAGGATTCCTCCAGCTGGAGGGAAAACTGGTGGTGAAAGAGTTGTGGAAAATCCTGAGCAAGATGGGGAACTGCAAAGAGCTGCTCCTTCCCCTTCAGGACAGGAACCCTGGGGCTCCTGCAGGAGCCCTGCAGTGAGCAGCTCTGCTTTAAGCTCCCAGAGATGTGGTGGGTGTCAAACCCCCTCAGCCCTGGCTGCTCCTGGAGCCCCTTGCACTGCAGGCAGATCCAGCAGAGCTCCCAGGCAGGGAATGTGCCTGCCCAGCCATCTCCTCGGGGGGGACAGGCTTCTGAGGTCCCTGCCTCAGCTGCTCCCCGGGGCTGCGTTTCTTCTGAGCATCATGATTGTGCTGCTTTGCTTTCCCCTCTCTTTCCTGTTGGTTTTCCCAGCTTTTACAGAGACAGGGTAACTGAGAGGCGTTTTAAAAAGGTTTTACTCTGTTATCAGCCTTGGTGAACAGTGAGAAACAAGAGATGTAGAACTCAGTGCAATTCCATCAGAAGCCAGCCTATTTCTTGGTTACAATACCTGAGAAATGTTTGCAGCTTTTGCTACACAATGCTGCTGCTACTTCTAACACTAATCACCTCTATTTTTTCTCCACATTGTCTTGCTGCGATGTATTTTTCATAGTTCTAATTCCATAAAATATCTAGTCTTGTTTTATTCCTTGCAAATCCATTTCCCACACATCTCCCTGATTACTGACTCACCTCACCCCCAAAATCTCCTTGTCCAGAAGGGTCCCAGCCCAGCCTCCCTCCCCTGAGCAGGCTGGAGCTCTCTGCAATCCTGGGAATTGTGGTCCCTGTGAATGATGGGGGCAGGACGGTGTCCTGGGAGTGTCCCTGTGGCACAGAGGGACTGGGGGAGCTTCAGTGGGGCCCTTCCCTGGCTCTGGAATTTCCTGGGACATGCTCTCCTTGCAGAGCAGCTCCTTGTGGGTCTGTGCAGGGCAGGGATCCCAGGATCTGTGAGGCTGGAAAATCCTTCCCAGCCCACCCAGTGCCCACCTTGTCCCCAGAGCCCCGAGTGCCACATCCAGCCCTTCCTGGGGCACCTCCAGGGATGGGCACTCCAGAGCTGCAAGGTCTGAGCCTTTCCATGGGGAAATTCCTCCTGCTGTCCATCCTGAGCCTGTTCCCTCTCATCCTGTCACCCTTTGAAAGGACATCATGCCATCCTGCTTTTTATCATTTCCAATTTCACTGCCAGTTCCCCATGTGGAAGTTTCCCACTTTGAGAAGAAATTCAGTTTTTTCACTGCAAGGCAGAGGTTGGTGGGGTTTGGAGGGGTTTTTAATTTCCCCTTGGCACAGCCTGGGTTGTCCTCTCTCATTTTCAGATTTCCATACCTTGAATTTTTACTCTCTTTAGGATCACTTGACTCCTGCTGCCTGCTCAGCTCAGATGAATGTCCTGAGCACAGCCAGGAGGTTTCAGCCCATTTCAAACACAATTGTGTCATGTCCTACCCATCCCACCCTGCCAGGTTCTCTGCAGACCTTCAGCTCCTGTGCAGCAGCCACTTCTGCAGGGATTCTGCTCCAGAATGGACATGGATTCTGGAATTTTGGCTCTCTAGTTTTAGTTGTTCCCATTGTTTTCATTTCATGTAGGTTTTCATCTGACTTTTTTCCACATTCAGTTTCTAGGCTAAGCTAATTTTTCTGGCTGGCTTATTTTTCTAAAACACACAAATCCACCATTTAAAATATTTTTTTCTTTCCCCCCCCCCATTCCTCCTAATATGTTTTATTTTATAACATTATTCAAGAGACCTTCAGTTCAAGCTGCTCTGTTCAGTCAGTGATACAAATTCCAGGCAGCTTTATCCCTCTTGACTAAGGCACTGCAGGCTTCTTCCTGAGCTCATTCTTTCAGGAAATTTGGATTATTTCTCCAGTTTACTGGAAATGTGGCCTTTTTTCTTCTGAAGCTGGTTTTGATCACTGAAATGAAAGTTATTTTCTGCCAGCATGAGCTTTTTGATGTTTATTTACTGATGGTGCCTGAAATA